CTCCTGGTCCAAGTATAGGTTTCACATTAGCACAATCAAATGTTCTGTGATTCCCATTCTTCTCACAGTTAGCTGTAATCCATACAGTCAAACACTTTTGCATAATCAATGAAACACAGATAGACATCCCTCTGGTACTCCCTGCTTTCAGCCAAGATCCATCTAACATTAGCTACAATATCCCTAGTACCACGACCCCTTCTAAGCTCAGACTGGACTTCTGGCAGTTCTCTGCTGATGTACTGTTCTAGTTATTTTTGGATAATCTTCAGCAGAATCTTGCTTGCATGTGATATCAATGATATTGTTCGATAATTTTCACACTGTGTGGGATCATCTTTGGAATGGGAGCAAATATAGATCTTTTCCAGTCAGTTGGCCAAGTGGTTGTCCTCCAGATTTCTTCACACAACTTAGTGAGCACATCCAGGGCAGCATCTGTTAGTTGAAATATGTCAATTGGTATACCATCAATTCCTGGGGCCTTATTTTTTGCCAATTCCTTTTAAGCAGCTTGAACTTCTTCCTTCATCACCATAGGCTCTTGCTCATATGTTGTTTCATGAAATTCTTCTGTGTCCGCCAATTCCAATGACTCTGTATACTCCTTGTATCTTCTTTTACTACATTCTGGATCATTTAACATTCTGCCCAAAGCATCTTTAAGTATAGCAACTTTAGGTTGAATTTGTTCCTCAGTTCCTTGAGCCTAAGAAATATTGAGCAAATTTGGCCCTTTTAATTTTCTTACTCCAGCTCCTTGCACATTTCATTGTAATATTTTACTTTGTCTTCCCATGCTGACTTTTGAAATCTTCTGTTTAGCTCTTTAATATCTTAAAATTCTTCCCTCTGCTTTGGCTTTTTGGCACTGTAGTGTAATATTCAGTCTCTTCTGACAGCCGTTTGATCTTTTCTGCCTCTTCTGTCTTTGCAATGACGTTTTGCACTCTTCCTGGATGATACATTTGACATCCTCCCACAACTCATCTGGTCTTCGCTCACTGGTGTTCAAGGCCTCAAACCTTTTCCTGAGATGGTTTTGAAATTCAGGTGGGGCAGACTCAAGGTCATATTTTAGTTCCCGTGGATTTGATTTAATTTTCCTTAACTTCAGTTTGAACTTGCATATGAATACTTGGTGGTCTGTTCTACAATCAGCACCTGGCCTAATTTTCACAGCTGATACTGAGCTTCTCCAGCGATTATTTCCACAGATATAATCAGTCTGATTCCTATGCATACCATCAGGTGAAATCTATGTGTATAACCTATGATGATGTTTTTAAAAAAACATATTTGCAATGAATAAGTCGTTGATTGTGCAAAATGCAATCATCCTATCTCCAGCTTATTTTCTTTTTTATTCCCAGCTTATTTTCTATCACCAAGTCCATGTTTTCCAACTGATGATCCTTCTTCTCTGTTCCTAACATTTGCATTCCAGTCACCCATTATTATTTATGCATCTTGATTGCATGCTCAATCTATCTCTGACTATAAAAGTTGGTAGAAATTGTCTTTTCCCTCTTTTTTTGGCTCTGGTTGTTGGTGCATATATCTAATTGATAGTCTCATTCACTGGATTTCCTTGTATGCGTATGGATATTATCCTGTCACTCACAATATTGTATTTCAAGACATATCTAGAAACTACTTTTTTGGAAAGCAATGAAGTCAGTTTGAGGACAAAAATGCATCTGATTTAGGCCATGGTCTTTTCAGTCACTTGCTGTGTAGTGAATAAGGATGACAGAAGAATAATTGATGCCTTTGAGCTGTTGTCTTGGAGAAGAGTACTGAATATCTCATGGACTGCCAAAAGAACAAGCACATACTTCTTGGAGAAAGTGCAGCCAGAGTGCTCCTTGGAGGCAAAGATGAAAATGCATCGTCTAACATACTTCAGGCATGTTGTTAGGATAGGCTATTCCTTGGAGAGGAACATCATGCTTTGAAAGAAGAGTAGAAGATCTTCAGCCAGGTGGAGTGACATGGTGACTTGCACAATGGTCTATGGCATGTCCAGAAATGTGAGGATGATACAGGATAGGACAGGTTTTAGATCTGCTGTTCATAGGATTGCTATGGGTTGTACTCAACAGCACCTAACAAAAACAACATGGTTATATAATTTAAAAAAACTATTTCACAGTTAATGTATACTTGTGTAGTTGTTTACTGTCATATCAGAACTGACTTGTATCTGACCCTCCACTGAATTTTCAGAAGCAGTAATTCCTCGGGAGGAAATTGTCCAGCCTTTTCTCATGCAGAAATTTGAACTGAAAGACTTTGGTATTACAGTGTAGCTTCTTACCAGTAGGCCACCAGAACTCCCTAATATACACTTGAGTTTCTGGTTTTTGGCTGCTATGAATAATTCTGTTAAAACAGTCACATATAAGTTTTATGTGGATATGTTTTTATATGTCTTAAGCATATATATAGAAGATAAATTACTGAGTTCAATGGTAAATTTAAGGAACCAGTGTGTTACAGTTGATTAATGTGTTGTTGTTGTTTTGTGCCATCCAGTTGCCTGCAACTCATAGCGATCCTATGAACATTAGCTCTGAAACCTTCCCTATTCTGAGCCAATAGCATTGTCTCTGACAGATCTAATCCCATTTGTCCAGCCACTGTGCCAGTCATCTCATTCTGGATCTTTTTCACCTGCACTGTCCCTCCACCCTTCCAAACATGATGTCCCTCTCCAAGGACTGGTCCATCCTGGCCACACGCCCAAAGTTTATGAGACAGAGCCTCAAAATGCTAGCCATGAAGTCCAGCCTCCCAAATGATCTGTTCTGCATATATGTTATAAAGGTATGGAGATAGGATGCATCCTGTACACACACCTTTCCTGATGCTGAACCATGCAATGTTTCCCTGCT